AATAAATGATGCACTCGTTCAATTTGATGTACAATTAAATATAGTTGCAAAGTGACAGTCCTTGTATCAAAATTAGAAACAATATATTGGAAAATTAGTAGCACTTTAGTATCTCTGTTACTTCAAGTAGCCAAAGTTTAGATACAGATGCAGACTGTTTAGGGAGATCATTGCACAAGTAATTACACCGTTGGGGTATTTAATAGAGGTTCAGCATAAAAAGTGTATTTCAAAAGCCTTCTTGTCTCATTTTTTTTCAGTAGAAACAAGATTAATAAAAGAAAAGGAGATTTTATGTGTAGAATTCCAACAACCATATCGTTTTTTTTAAATCCCATAATCCCATAGGTGATATCATACCACATATTAAAAACCACAAGGCACAGCATAACCGGTACAAATTCAATCTCTCTTCGGTTCCATATTTGCTGGAAGAGGCAGAGACAGTAGGGGATATTCATCCAAGTGTTCTTTTTTATAAAGGAGTGCAAAAATGAAAAAGGAGTGGAGTCACCAATAAAATGTGCCTGCTGATTCCTCTAGTTTCATTGATAATTGCACTACATGTAGTACTTTAGACCATTATTTAGAACAGAATACTTAAAAAAATCTCCCTCAGTGACTCAGCTCCTCTCCCAGTATATGTCTAAAAGAAGAGAGGCTGTCTGGGTATGCAACTTCCAGTAACATGCAGAGATGTGTGTGTACAATGGGTTTAAAAGTACCCTAACTCAAACTCAGCATGAATTATATTATCTATGTAATATAGGCTTCAGCTTTATATATCTTTTATATGGCATTTTACGGCTATTCTGCATAATCTACCTGACATATCGAAGGTTAGATGGTCATGTAATGTAAAAGACACAGAATTGAGAATTCTATGTTAATGTGAATAATGCTTTTGTGGGATTTTGGGTTTCACTGTTATGTATGATACATTTTCATATTATGTATGTGGCCAGCAAAGGTGCAGACCAAATAAGCTTAGCACTGGACCACAGAAAATATAAATTGACCTACTCCCTGACCCAAGGTCACAAAAGAGAAGTTGCTCACCCATCCCCTTTATGCACACACAGTATATACCACGCCACACTATACCCCCATACCCCCACACACACTGCTGTTTTTGTTGATGATGGTATTTTATAGTTGCAGATATGGTCTGGTATGGGAGGAGACCCATAGGGGTGACATCAAGAGTTACTGTATTGGTGACACCACTGAGGGTAGAGTTGAAACAAGGAGTACAACACAATACTACATAGCATGAGATAATGGCCTGCTCTGATTGTTCATTTTAATTCCATATGTGGTTGGCAACTGTCACCTCTCTCATTCCTTACTGGGTTAAATAAAATGAGACATTTGTTAATAATCGAAATTTGGCCAATTTGAAGAATGTATTTCTCTTGATAGCATCTAATGGATAGACTCAAAGATGTTCTTTAGAATTACATAGGCAAAGAATATTTATAGGCATTATTGTGCCTTGACAGTCCATGATTATACAGTTTACGGATTTGTCAATGTAAACATCGTGTTGCTAAATGCTAGAGAGATGTAATTAGATGGTTTCTGTTGAAATTAAAAATAGTACACATGACAAACTTTGATTAAGTATACAGAATGCCTACCACTTAAATTGTCTAACCTACTTCTATACTTTGCGTATCAGATGCTTTAATGACATCCATGTGTTGCTCTGAGAATAGTGTGCCATAAATAACACTGCTCAACCTATATTTAATGTTAAATGGAACATTGTTTAGACATCAGAAATACAGATGGCATGAGAAACATAGAGTATTTAAGACAACTGCTGTGCCCCAACAAACTGCATTAGGTGGAATGCTCTGTCTATACTGTGCAATGAGAATTGTACCTGTAGATACTGTAGGGTATGTAATACTTTACTATACATGTATTGTATTACATGGTTTGCTAGGGAGTATGTTATGGCTTGTTTGACTGTCCACTTTTGGACTGTTAAGCTCCAGTCACTGCAAGTTGAGACCTTCTATTTCTGTTTTGAGTTTTTATATCCATACTGATCATCAACTGATGGTGAAGTTGAAACTAATCAGATGAAATGCAAGTGTCAAGCTTACTATAGTTTTGTCAGGATTACAAGTTGATCCAGCACGCAGTACTGTGTCACACCTAGGACTAAGGATAACGTATTACCGGACATTAAAATGGCCGGAATTAACGTCTCCAAGAATAGTCAAAATACTTGCCAAGGTCAGGGACACAGAATCCGACACAAAGATGAAGGAAAGCCAAAAGTCCAGGATACCAGATATCAGGGAAGTCAAAGCAAAGCCAAAGTCTATACCAGAAAATCAATATCAGGAACACACTATCCGATAAACACAGGCATGAAACCACGACAGGGCACTGAGCAAGAGGAGAACTGGGCCTAAATACCCGTCCTATGCATCCGATTGGCTGTAACCGGCCTTTGACCCCAAAGGCAATTACCAGGTTCCATTTACATGATTGCTGCTCAGCATAAACCCTCCTGTGGCCTTGATTGCTGCATGGCACAACTTTTCCTGTCAGAACAGTAATGTTGCTTCACACAACTTTTCCTGTCAGAACAGTAATGTTGCTTCACACAACTTTTCCTGTCAGGACAGTAAATGCCATTAACCACATTTTTATGTGCGGATGAGTACGTGACAAGTTTCTGTTTGTTAAATTTAAATGTAGAACCTAGATTACAGTATAATCTAAACTAAAACCTATGTAAATGTACATTTTCTGAGAATCCTTATACAGTAAAAGTAATATTTAGATTATATTTATTTTAGTATAATTCCTCATTTCTAATTTAAGGTCAAAATAGACTAACTAGATAAATAAATGCTTTCAGGATGGCTGCCCTGGCCTTAAATTTCATGTTCACATTGAATTCACTTGGAATTCTCACTATTGTGAATAACCCTGTGAGATTTATTTTCTAGGTTTCCTTTTTATGTGTGTGAAAATTAAATTGTATTGAAGGGATTTGGGATGTATTATAATGGGCATAATTTCTATGCTTTATTTGTGAATATCAATAGTGAATACCAAAAAGACATTTAATAAGGTGAAAATGTGAAATTTATGATGGGAGTGATAGAGGCTGGGAATGGGTTATGCAATAAATGTCATTGGCAATACAATATGGCGGGCATAAACCCTGTCCATATATTGAACACTGTAAATGTGCTCTTGCATGGGCAGAAATAAACTACTATAGCCTTGTAGAACATCTAGTGACTTTATAAACATTTAATAATGTGCTTTTTGGAGAAGTGGGATATTAGAGTAAAAAACTGGCTTAAGCTTCAAATTAATGTATGTTTTTTTTCTTTTTCAACAGTCCCGGAGACAGTCCCGTAGCAACCTAAATCAAAGCACCAAAAGGAAGGTATGTGCTCTGTTTTTTTTTTATAAAATAGTTTCCCTGGTTAAGAATGGTTTTATGTGACTTTGTTTCATAAACCAGCATGATGATATTACACAGTTATTAATGGCAATGATGGAAATGTGGCAATCATTTTGGGACTGCTTTGTGTGTGTGTGGGGTGGGCGGGGGGGGGTTGTGATGTATTTTTGTGGGGTGGCTACCTTTGGTTTATGTGTGTGAGAACAGCTATTGATTTTGTGTGTGTGTGTGTGTATAGGGATGCTTGTTGTGTTGTATTTGTGTAGGTGGCTAATTGTTATTTTATATGTAGTGTGGTTGCTTGAAGTGTTTGTGTGCAGGGAAGATTTTAGCATTGTTGCATATTTGGAAAAGCTTCTTGTGGTTGTTTATGAGTGGATGCTGCCTATGGCGAGGCTGCTTGCGATATGTGTGGTGTTGTGTATGTAGCAGAGTGTCCTTATTGAGTACATGTGTGTGTATAGGGATATTGCTTGTTGTATTATGTAGGGTAGGCTGAGAGGACTCTCTTGTGTTGTGTGTCTAGAGGAGCTCCCTGCTTTCATTTCTTTGTATTATTTTTAGTTTAAAAATAAGTAATATTTTGCAATAATCCATTGCTATTTTTTTTAGGTAAGGGATGGTGTATCATTCCTGGTGGTTTAGTGTGTGGAGCACATAGTCTACCTCTCATCACGGTGCACGTTTTGTCTTGAGCTCCTGAATGAATCACATAGCTGGATGGGTAGCATGATCTGAGTCACTGATAAGTTCCAAGTGTGAGGGAACACTAGCAATGGCTTATGCCTAATACAGGGACTGACCACACACCAGGGGTGGAACTAATGTAGAGAAGTCTCTGGTGCAAGAAATGTTTTTGGGTGGCCAGAAGGTAGATTTCCATCTGTTGTACATCTCCCACAATGCTTTGTCAGCTGTGAATCTACCATTTGACCATTATTGCAGGATTTTATTTCTGGATAGTTATTGTGTGTTTGAATGTAATCATGTTTTTGTATGGAGTGTTTGAATGTAGGGTACTATTTGTGTATAGTATTGGAATTTAAATGCAGTTGTGTGTTTGTATGTACTATTGCCACTTGAATTCAGTGCATATTTGTTTGTAGTGTGTTTGAATGGATGGGTGTTTGTATGAGGTGTTAGTGTTTGAATAAATGGGTGTTGTTGTGTGTAGTTTTTAGTATTTACATGTAGCGGTGTGTTTGAACACAATGTTGGTGTTTTAAAACAGGGTGTGTTTGTATGTAGTGTTGGTGTTTGATTTGCACAATGTGTTTTTATTTAGTGTTGGCATTTGATTGCATGTAGAGTATCAGGATTGGGCTAACCCTTACACACAAGGAGAAGAATATTAGTCAAAATAGAAGAAATAGCAGGATACATATATCAAACCCTAGAGTGGACGGACGTAACGTATAACTAAAAAGAAATCATAGTAATAAAGGATGCCTAGGTCAAAGAATATAGAGGTACATAAGAACGAGAAAGGTCAAAGGGATACAAGGAGTCAGAATAGTCAAAATACAAAACCTGGAGGAGGGCACAGACTCGCTTGCGTAAGGACCGGGTACTACCTCAACGGCTGCATGGACCCCCACTTGCCACTAAATCTGAACTCACCAATATGGTGTCGGATCTTAAGGCCTTCTTCACCTCTGAACTGGCTGTGTTGAAGGAAGAGCTAAGCACTGTCACAGGTCTGATACGGGCCACTGAAGAAAATGTCCACGACCTGCAAATAAAGCAAGGCTCCACTGATTCATGCTTGCAGGAGCTCATAGCAACATGTACACAGTTGAGTATGAGGGTCAGACAACTGGAAGACTCTGCAAGGCAGCGCAATGTGAAGGTGAGGGGGATCTCGGATACTGTAGATGCCACCGAATTACCTCGATTCATTTGGATGCTGTTTTCCACAACCCTGACGCCTATATAGGCAAAAGGACTGTCGCCAGATGGCTTATATTGCAATCCCAGCCACTTTTGCAACAAAACCCCTGCAACTCAATAAGTAAACTTGTGCTTTAAGACCCGCAACGACAAAGAAGGATTTATGAGGGCAGTGTGGGGACAAACCCAATATACGTTTGAGGAACACTTGCTGAGTTTCTTTCAAGATTTAAGTCCTCAGCTGCTACAGTGGAGATCGTCTGTTAAAGTGGTAATCTCCCAACTGAGAGCTGCCGACATCCTATATAAATGGGGCAACCCAAGAGCACTCATCATCGACAAAGACTGTCATCAGCACCGACTGATCTCACCTACCCATTGGATGCTCAGACATTCCTGCAGTCATTGAAACTTACCTCGACCATGAGTGCAACCACCAAATCGGTGCATCGCTGGTATGTTGCCAACATTGTGGTGTTCTCCCCACTGGGATCTAGTGCTCGAGGGTGACTGGCCATAACAGTATTCATTGCCACATTTCTCTATATTTCTGTTGATATTATTGACTTAATATATACTTACATTTGGTATTGTACCTCTATAACATACTTATGGGAGACTCTGCACCTAGGTGTACTCATACATTTGAAATGCAAAGGCCCTACATTGCCCACACACCGGCACTGCGCTAAAGCTTCCACCCCTTGAGTTCCGGGGATATGGAGCTCATTCACCCTGTCATATATTTCACGTGCTTGAGGTCTGATTAGTAAGAGCTGACTATATATTTGTCAGGGTACCTTATGTGTTTGAATGAAAAAAATCTCAGGCACTCACTTGCAACGTTTTGACCTGAAAACAGGTCTTTATCAAGCTTGATAAAGACCTGTTTTCAGGTCGAAACGTTGCAATAAACTGCCTGGAAGTAATCACAGTGAGTGCCTGAGATTTTTTTCATTCATACAGATTGTATGGGGTTTGCTTACCCATGCTCAATGCACCCTGTGTTAAACCTTATGATTGAGTGCAACCCTTCTTTTTTTCTTGGTACCTTATGTGTTGGCACTAAAGCCACCCTGCAGGAGGTTGGGGACCTTCCCAGTAGTCCCTTTCCTGTTTTCAGCGGTTCTCGCGCCGGCTGTAGTAGCCCTGCCCCTTTTTATGAAGCGGCACATGGGCGACGACATCATGATGCTAATAACGTTACGTCCCGCCAAAACGTTCAAATTCTAATCTCCATACGATACCTGTTTTGAAGAAATGGATCATTGCATGGATCAAATAGCTCTTGCTTTACAGACTTTTTGATAAATCGGTCTTCCCCTGTACAAGATGAAGGATGTACTCCTTCAACAGGCTTGAGGTAGCTACTGTTGGCACCAGAGGCTTACTGTGGTTTTTAAAACCACTTTGAACTCCAGCCACGCTCTTATCACATATAGATGAAAGAATGAGATATAGGCAAAATACCAGAGATAGACCTTCTATTCATATGGCTCCTGTATATCAACCCTCACTCCATGCCACTAGATTTACCTGAACCCATGCAATTGGGAATGACTAGGTTAAGCCAGACAGAACAACAATACAGGAGAAATGAGGGACTGTGTCTGTACTGCGGGCAAAGAGGACATCTCTGCCTAAATTTCCCTAGCAGACCGGAAAACTCTTGCACCTAAGTCCTTATGGGGAACAGGCCTTGGGTGTTTCTTCTTTGTCCTCCATCACGAAACATAAAGATCACAGGCTTCTTGTTCACATCACTTTAACCTGGGATAAAAATATGGTTAATACCATGGTATTAATAGATTCTGGCGCAGCAGAGAACTTCATAGACCAAAATTTGGCCACTGAGAATTCTCTTATTTCCCAGTTAAGAGCTGTTGGCTGTTGAGGACATAAATGGTAGACAACTGATTATGCATTAATCCGTACCAGTTCATATGATGATAGGAGTGTTATTTGTGTGCTCCAATTAATTACTTCCCCAGTTTTCCCAGTGGTACTGGGGTTCCCTTGGGTAAGGAAACATAATCCTACTATCGACTGGGAAAGAGGCAATATTGTTTCTTGGAGTACTAATAGTCTAAAGGGGTGTATCATGAAGGTACAGCCTATTCACCTTATTAATGTTCCTACCATGTTTCCTTTATCTATGGAAGTTCCGGAACAATATTTAAAGGTGAAAGAAGTGTTTGATAAGGGTAAAGAGTTATTACCACCTCACAGGTCCTATGATTGTGCCATTGACCTGATTCCGGGTACCATGCTTTAAAGAGGCACTGTATATGCTCTTTCTGCTAAAGGGAATACTGTATTAGAGGAATTCATTATGGGAAACCTGAGAAAAGGCTTTATTAGAAGATCCTCTTCACCGGGAGGGGCAGGCTTTTTCTTTGTGTCTAAAAAAGAGGGTGATCTCAGGCCTTGCATTAACTATGGAGGATTGAATAGGACTACTGTACGTAATGCTTATCCAATACCACTTATAACCGAGTTGTTTGATAGATTAAAGAATGCCAGAATCTTTACCAAGCTAGATTTAAGAGGAGCATATAATCTTGTCAGGATTCATAAAGGAGACAAGTGGAAGACAGCCTTTAACACCAGACATGGGCATTATGAGTATATTGTGATGCCTTTTGGGTTATGCAATGTTTCGGCTGTATTCCAAGATCTTATAAATGATGTGTTAAGAGATTTTCAACAAGAGTGCTATATAGTATATCTTGATGATATTTTGATATACTCGAAGGATAAGGAGACACATCACAAACAAGTTAAGAGGGTATTAGCTCGACTTTTACATCATGGTTTATATTGTAAACTAGAAAAATTTATTTTTGACCAGTCCCAAATAGGTTTTCTGGGTCACATGATATCAGGAGAGGGGTTTGCTATGGATCCCACGAAATTGAATTCCATACTCAACTGGCCTTTACCCAATGGACTTAAAGCGATCCAGAGATTTATAGGTTCCTCTATTATACTAAGTTTTATTAGAAGTTTTTCATCTATTGTTGCTCCAATAAAGAATTTGACTAAAAAAAGTGGTAATCCCAAAAGCTTTTGAAACTTTAAAACATTGTTTGCACCCATGGCTCTATGAATTCCCTCTACCCACATGAGACCCCCAAAAGGCAGGAGATAACGAACCTACACCAGGCCGGCTCTATCCCCCTCGCCCTACAGCCGTCAACCCCCGACACCCACCACCACTCCTCCCTCCCCTTTTTTTTTCTCTTTTCTCTCTCTCTCTCTCTCTCTTCTCCCTCCTTCCTCTTCACACTAACCCTCTTCTCCTTTTCCCCCTGACCCCCACTCCCCACTCAGCGACCCCCTTACACACACACACATACATTCCGCTCTCATTCTCCCTACCAACGGGACAAAAACCACCTCCCACGCCAGACCTAAGAAGATGGTCAAAACCACACACACCCCCACCCCATTACCACACACGCAAACATAACTACAGACACTCCCCAATGCGCCAACAACGACTCACGACAAGCCAAATCAAGGAGACCGACTCACGCCCAATCCACCGCCCCGTCGACAGTCATAAGCGCATCACTAGACACGCCTCATCTACAACACCCCACAGTCCACACAGACACAGAGGACTAAACGCTTCACCAACTGTGATGACCCCGGCACTCCTCCTAACTAGCCAGACAGGCCGCAATCCCCCCACCCTCACACACATTACTGACCAGGAGACCGTTCAGAAGGGGAAGACCTGGATCAAACCAAAATGCAACTGGTATACATCATAGTGACACGCAACATGAACCAGCTAACTGTACATATAATCTGTATTATATGTTGCAACCATCAATGATCTGTACCGTGACAACTCAACAAAGCCGATTTCGGCATATGTCAAGAGATGTATATATCAAACACTTGTATCCCCAGATGCTTCTTTCTGTAACCCTCTCCCAAAAAACTAAAATCTTGAAAAATAAAGAATTAAAAAAAAAAACATTGTTTGCATTTGCTCCTATACTAGTTGATGCAGCTGAGACTAGTTTAGGGGCTGTTTTGTCACAATGCAAAAACCATGAACAACCCCTTCATCCTTGTGGCTTCTACTCAAAGAAGCTATCCCACACAGAAAGGAGATATGACATAGGGGATAGGGAACTTCTTGCTATTATCTTGACCTTAAAAGATTGACGTCACCTCTTAGAAGGTAGCATACATCCGGTAACCATCTTAACAGATCATAAGAATTTCTCCTACATCGTGGAGGCCAAACATTTGTCAGGTAGACAAGCCCGTTGGTCCCCTTTCCTGGCTAGGTTCAACTACGTTTTGACGTACAGATCTGGATCGAAAAACTCCAAAGCAGATGCTTTATATCGACAGTTTGAACCACTTCCTAATAACAATATATTCACTGTTGTTCCTTTCGAACGCATCATTACCAATACCCGTATTAGTATAGCCCTAGCTCCTGGAAATATCCATGATGGCAAACTGTATGTTCCTCCTGAACACCAGAGGGAATTACTCCTTTGCCTTCATGACAGTAAGATGGGGGGCTATCCTGGTATACGCAAATCCTATGATCTGATTTCTAAGGAGTTTTGGTGGCCATCCTTACAAAAGGACATCAGGGACTATGTTTAACCCCTTAAGGACACATGACATGTGTGACATGTCATGATTCCCTTTTATTCCAGAAGTTTCGTCCTTAAGGGGTTAACATGCTTTTCTGTGCTAAAACCAAACTTTCCCATCCTCTTCCTTGTGGTCTGCATCCACCCATTGACATACCCAATAAACCATGGGCCACCATAGCTCTAGACTTCATGGTTGTTTTAACAATATCTCAAAAGAAAACAGTGGTATTGACTATAGTAGACAGGTTTACCAAGATGGCACATTTTATATCTCTGCCCATATTACCCTCTTCATCTGAATTAGCTACTATCTTCGCTAAAGAGGTAT